GATCCCCGCAGAGGGTCGCGCGGGCTTAAATAACATCGTTGAAAAAAACCTCGAGTTTTTGCACCTCGACCACGCCGATCCCCGCAGAGGGTCGCGCGAGCCAAAACAAAATCGCAAAAAAAACTCCAGTTTTTGCACCTCGACCACGCCAATCGCAGAGGGTCGATTTTCGTGTAGTGTCGTCGGCGCTACCCCGCCGCCCTAAGAAGAGATTTTAACTGCACTTGCAACTTGCACTTGACTCCATGCGCTTGCAACTTGCACTTGACTCCATGCAGTTGCAACTTGCACTTGGCTCCTGGCACTTGCAGCTTGCACTTAACTCCGTGCGCTTGCAACTTGGACTTGACTCCACGCACTTGGCTCCTTGCAACTTGCAATGACTCTCAGGACTCCTTGCAATGACGACTCCTTGCAATGGCTCTCGTGACTCCTTGCAATGACTCCTTGCAATGACTCCTTTCAATGACTCCTTGCAATGACTTTCATGATGATGATTCCTTGCAATGACACCTTGAAATGACTCTCATGAGAACAACTCAAGTGAACCCAGCGGAAGCCATGCTTTCGGGAAAAAGAAAGAAACAAAGAAAAAGAAAACCGAAAGAAGGAAGGAAGGAAGAAAGAAAGAAAGAAGGAAAGGAAAGAAAGAAAGGAAGACAGAAAGACAGACAGACAGACAGACAGATAGATAGATAGATAGATAGATAGAGGGAAACAACATAACAAGATGGGTAGATGTATAGATAGATAGATAGACAGATAGATAGATCGATAGGTAGTTCAAGAGCGAGAGAGAGAGAGAAAGAGAGAGACAGAGAGGGAGAGGGAGAGAGAGCAAGAGAGAGAGAGAGAGCCCGTTACAGAGAGAGAGAGAGAGAACGAGTGATAGACAAGAAAATAGATACTTAGATGGAGATAGATAGAGAGAAGATAGATAGATACATTAGAAAGGCAAGATGTAGAAATAAATAGATGGAAGTTAGATAGATAGGCAGACTTCATAGATAGATAGACAGATAGATAGATAGAGAGACACATTGGTAGATAGGTATATAAATAGGTACACAGAAGGATAGAGAGATCGATCTGTAAATACAAGGAAAGAAAAACATAAAGAGAAAGAGAGAGAAAGAAAGAAAGAAAGAAAGAAAGAAAGAAAGAAAGAAAGAAAGAAAGAAAGAAAGAAAGAAAGAAAGAAGGAAAGAAGGAAAGAAAGAAATGAAGAAAGAAAGAAAGAACGAAAGAAAGAAAGACATACAGAAGGAAAAACAAAGAAAGAAAAGAAAGAAAGAAACGAAAGAAACGAAAGACAGAAAGAAAGAAAAACATAAATAAAGAACGATACAGCAGGAAGGAAGGAAGGAAGGAAGGAAGGAAGGAAGGAAGGAAGGAAGGAAGGAAGGAAGGAAGGAAGGAAGGAAGGAAGGAAGGAAGGAAGGAAGGAAGGAAGGAAGGAAGGAAGGAAGGAAGGAAGGAAGGAAGGAAGGAAGGAAAGCAAGAAGAAAACAAAAAGGGCCAAGAAGTGAAAGAGAAAAATAACTATAGTTTGTATATTTTTGAAACTTCCGTTCCCCGGCTCTGCCGGACTTTACTGGTATTGTTGTACTGAGAAGTTTCCCTTCTAATTTCAAGGAGTCGCCGCGAAAGGGTTGATGCAAAACAAGCGCCGTGGTGGGCGAAGAGACGCGCGGGCAAGCTTCACGCAAGCTGCGCGAAGGAGCGCTCTGAGGGTAGCCCAATCTGAGCCGGTTTGGAGTGCTGCTCAGCTGAGTTGCTCGAGAGAAGACGGCTTTGGAGGTTTTGGCAGAAGAGCCCTTGGTGACGCATCGAGTGGAAGAGGAGGACATGTGAAGCGCTCAGATGGCATCGGCCCAGGATCTGGGAGAGCGACTGGCACCGAGGTTTCGGCTGCACGAAGCCTTCGCGAAGACAAAGTGAGAGAGAGGTTGAGACTTTGTTGCTGTTGCTGGGGCCACGCAGAGAGTTGTTACGCCGCCCTGGCCGCCCCCCCTTACAGGTTGGGAGTGAAACGGAGTGAGTTAGCCAAGACCTTCAAAGTCAGCTTGGCACAAACTTTTCAATTTTAGTCAAGACACCAAGGAGCAACATGCAAGTCACAAGAGACGAGCTTCAGCCAAGTCGGAGCTTCCACCAGCGTTTACCAGCTGCGAGTGCTTTGGGATGAAGTTGCGGAGGGCTTGCACAGCCAGGTGACGCTTGGCAGGCGAGTGTCCCACATACATCAATTTAAGTGAAGCGTAGGCAACTTGGCAAGGAGTACTGCAGTTTTGCGTCTTAAACGACTGGCAGGTTGTCAGCGCCTTGGCGCGTTTCACATTCGCAAAACAGTCTTGCCGATCCTTGTTACAGTCGCATGAGCCAGTGCATTTCTTCGGTGTGTCCTTTTCTTGTGACTCGGTCTGAATTTCGGTCGCTCACTGCGCGGTGCATTTTCAGGTCTAAGCAGAGGTCATGACAGACATGGCGGTGGGATGCTAAGTGGAGTTTCGACCTGCTTGAGAAGCCTGATTCTGGCATCAGACATGGTAAGAGTTGCGCGAGCCGTGGGAAGGAGCCAATCAGCGGTGGATGATATTGTCAGAAAGTTGTGATAGCATGGTGGCTTGCTCCTGACCGTACACGTGCGGTGAGTGAGGCCCCAGCAGAAGGTGTCGAGGCAAGATTCCGAGCATGCGGTTGGTTGCGGGGCACGGCTGGCGTGGCGCCTGAACAACCAGTCTTTGGTTTCCGCCGATAGCTCATGCAGCTTTGAGTTCAGAGAAGTAGCGCAAGTTTGCAGGTCTATTCAGCTACAGGCTGGGGAGTGAATTTTAGGGCGTGTCGGCGCTCAGGCTTTGTGATTGCAAATGGTTCGGTTTGTGTGTGAGGCGAAATTCAGCCACGAGCTGTCAGCAGGGATATTGAGATCTCAAGCTCACGGACGAGCCGCTGCGGGTCCTCATCTTCTGTCATGTCGATCCACGTGCAAATTCCTGCCAACGTCCGGCCTGGGGAGATGTTCTACGTGGTGGTTGGGGACATGGAGTACGAGATTTGGGCGCCCGAGAACTCTAAGCCCGGGGAGATGGTCGTGATGTCCGTGGATGAGCTGCGAGAGAGCTTTGCCTCAGCCTCGCCCTCGGCGGCCTCGGTGGTGGCCTCGCATCCGTCGATCTCCGTGCCTTTGCAACCCTCGCAGTCACAGCGCCCAGACACGGGCGCGGACTACGAGCGTTCAGAATCGGCTTCTGCGGCGTCCGTGGCGACAGACGCGAGCCTGGTGCAAGTGCGCATCCCGGAGAACTGCAGCTCGGGGGACACTTTCTTCGCCACGGTCCACGGCTTGGAGTTCGAGATCCTGGTGCCGCGGGGCTGCCAGACTGGGGATCTCATCGAGCTGGAGGTGCCTTCCAAGCGCGCCATCGCCAAGTTCGGGCCCGAGTCTGCCTCGGCGCCCTCGGTTTTGGACCGGTCTTTGGGCCGCTCAGACGGCCCCAACGATGGCTTCTTTGCGGAGCTTTGTGTGCCGCTGGGCGTGAGTGCGGGCCAGAGCTTTGCGGCGGCCATTGACGGCTCCGAGTTCGACGTGCCCGTGCCAGCCCTTTGAAACAAAGATTGGGCATGGCTTCGTGACGGCTGCGTGATGTCGACCTGGGATTAATCAAGGGGGATCCCCCCAAATCAACAAAGGGGCGCCTAGAATTAACATCTTGGAGTGAGTTGTGTAGTAGTATTGGTAGACTTGAGTTTTAGTTGTAAACTCCTTAAGATTTGTAACGCTGAGCCCACAAGAGTTTAAATTTACAAGCGCGATACATAGGACTGGGAGTGGGTCATGGAGCCAAGAGTCAGTGGCGCTGCGTGCTGGGGCGGATCAACCAAAGCAGAGCTGCGGTGATCAATGGCTGTGTTGGCGTGGGGTCTTTTCCAGCGTGGATCGGTCGGAGTCGCGCGGGCACACTCGAGCCAGAACGGGAATCCCACAAGCGAATTGCTAGGCGGACATGATTGAAACATATTGTCAGAGAAGTAAGCAGGGCGTGCCAAAATGGGAGTGGTTTGCATTCATGTTGACGGAGACGCTTATGCCATCCATACTGAGCGCCCTCCCTTTTTAATGGAACAGCCTCCTTGGTTTATCTCCCAGAGCGATAGATCCGGTCGACACTTAGGCGCTCATTGGGTCATACTTTGTTTTCCTTTGGCTGCAATCACCAAGAAGCAACTTGTCCGGTTGTTGGGTTCGCGCGCAGTTCGCTCGGTTCGCTCAGGAGGGCTACGGACCTGGCGACATACTGGCGCTACAGCTACCCTCTCGAGGCGCCCCGCCCTCCCCGCTGCCCTCCGCCCACAGCTCAGCGTTTTGGGGTGAGCTAATTTAGCTCCCGTCTGACATAAGGTCAGTGCTTCGCGCTTTCTGCACCTAGGAATTGGATGCCTTGCGGCAAGAGCTGCAGGAAATGCGGCAGGCAATCGATTTTCCGTTTGGAGAACCAGACAATTTGCTTGTATTCCAAGCAAACTGGGTGATCCCGGACGTGGCCAGGAGCTGCAGGAGGTCCGCCAGATGCAGGACACGCGCGACTCACGCGAGCGAGACTGGTGGGAGCGGGACCCGCGCCTGGGCCCAGAAATTGAGTCCGCATGTCTTAGAAACGCAGTCCACGACATTGTTGCGGGTATGAGTCCTTCTCCTTTCTTCTTCCTTGCCTTGGGGTCTGGGAGACGTCGGTGGCGCGTGCGGCTGTGGCCGGTGCGCTATGTGGTGCCAGTTGTTGCAGTGCAGCAAACTTGCTGCAGATCAGGCAGCCCAATACTGAGTCCAAGTCGTCGGCAGATTCCTTCATTGAGATCCTCATTCCTCCAGATTGCTATGCGGGAGCGGCTTGCTTGCTTGTGAAAACATTACATGCAAGGTCATTTTGCCATATTTCGCCGTGCTTGCTTTGCGTGCACCCGGCCAGCCAGGAGACACGTTTGTTGTTGAAGTGGACGATATGGAATTTCAGATGGCCCATCGCTCAGATGGCTTGAGCTAGAGCCAGCACAGGATGCACAGAAATTGCCAGCATCGGCAACCGCTATATTTATGGCAGTGCGGTGCAATGGTCTATTGCGTGCAAGCCAGTGCAACGGAACTTGGGAACTGCGCTTGCCTCGAAACCAAGGCGGTGCCGGATGGATGCTGTCCAGGCGAGACAATTTACATGGACTTGCGAGAGGCGCGAGCGATACGTTGCGTTGGAAGTTCGTCGAAACGATCGCTGCGTCGCCCAAGGGCGGTGGATATACAGCCAACTCGCTCAGCAGCAAGCAGAAGAGCAACTCTAGACCTCCCTCCGCCGTTCGGAAGCTGGTGAAGGAGGCTTCTGGGGTGGGCCCTGCACGGAGCACTTTTTGATGGCTAGCAGAAGAGGGCCGGCCGAATTATCTCTAATGTGCCAAGATTCAGATCCTTGTGTTGTTCACCATCCTTTTAAGTATTCTCAACAAGGATTTGGATCCGGCACCGGATAGGATGCCACATGAAGGCTGCAACATGCTGGATAGGAATTGGTGGCGCCAGAAGAGAAGGATGAGACCATCACGGCTTCCCCGTCTGTCCCAGCCGAAATTCTGGAAATCACCATCCCGGAGGCTCCGGAGCCGCATCAGGTTCATGTTGTGTTTTTTTAGTTTCCTTTGCAAGCTGCCCTCACACCTGTGAGGATTGCCACCCTGGCGACTCCTTCATCATCGAGGCGGCATGAAACTTGTTTCATTTCATGAAGCTGCGTCCCTGCAGCGAAACCATGCTCTTCAACTCGTGAACCTGAGCATGGGCGGGTATACCCATCGGCATATTTGCCCACCGCCAGCCAATCCAGTTGGATGCATTGAAGTCATCTCAATGCGATCATCAAGTCTGAGAAACAATGCTCAGCGTCGCATGTAGGGACGACATGCGCATCAGAGTGTCAAAGCGTAGCCGCCTGCGCAGAATTTCATCGGCGCAAGTGCCAATTTGCCCTTAGACTTATCGCGAGGTGAACGACGTTGAGCTGGAGCTTACGGTTCCTGCCGGATGTCAGCCAGGGGAGGTGATCTACATGGACTTGCTGCCTGAAGGATCGGAATCTCGAGGGCCAGAGAGCATCGACCCAAAACATGCAAGTGAAATGGATTTGTTGAGGTCAAAGCAGCACGCAGCTAGACTTGAAAGCCTCAAAACAGAGGCATAAGTGAGTTTCGTAGGGTTGTAGTTCAAGTGAAGCACTAGCACCTAGGTGCCTTGGGCTGGGTTTGGCTGTCACATTCGACTTCGGACATGTGGATGACGCCCTCAGGCACCCTGACCAACTCCCGGCCTGCCTCCGCGACCACCGCGGACGACAAGTTGTGGCTCGGGCGCAGTGGGGTGTTGACTGCTTGGTTTCATGATACTTAAATCACGCACACACACACGTAAGTATTCTACTTTTGTGTGCAATGGACAATCTGGTGCTTTGTGTTGAACAAGGTGCTCTCAGTCTAGCATTTATGTGCGTGTGATGTCAGATGTTTGGCATGGGCAATGCAAAATATGGACAGACCTCACAACCCATACGCATGAGCTGGTCCAGTGTGACCTGGTAGATGGAATTCGGTATGCTACGCTGCGATACGAGTTGATGTCAGTTGATGTCGTATGATGTGGATATGTTTCCATCATGGCTTGCTGTATAGATGGCACCGTTGCGCCGCAGCGAGCTCAGCCTGCGTTTTGAGGAACTCCCGACCAGCCAGCGCCAAGAAGACCAGCGTGGTCTCCGAACAGGCGGGTCCACCCTTTACCCTTCACGAGGGCATACAACCACACACACAAATGCACAAATGTACAATCACAAATAAGTACGAACACACGCGTGAAGCATGCTCCACGAACACACACAAACACGCTTGTCATGGTCCACACACACGCGGGGCACATCGCACATCGCAAGCCAAGGTGCAGATCGCTCCTTTGCCCCGTGGCATTCCGGAGCATCAGCCGCGTGGCTGCGCTATTTATTCTGTCATCTACATTGTATATTTTGAATTGCCTGGAAAGAATGCAAGCCTTCAGGCCCTTTCAGTTGCGTTTATCGTTGCGCCAGCAAAGGCTGGACATGAACCAGCCGGCACGTCTCACGAAGACGCTGGAGGCCATGGGCTGGACCAAGGAGATCCAGCAACTGAAGCAGGAAGTGGCGCACTTGAAGAGTGCTGCGCCCTCAGACTCGGAGTTGGGAGAGCGGTAGACCTGGCAAAGCTGGCGAGTCAAATGCTGAAGGTGCAACATGGCGTGTCCGTGCGTAAGGCGCCAATTCAACATTAGTTACACACACACACACATACTCATACACACCCAACCGCCCGCACGCAGGCAGGCAGGAGCACACACACATCACACAACACAACACAACACAACACACAACACACAACACACACACCACTCACACATGCACCATAATATGCACGCACGCAAGCACGCACCCGTGTGCGTGTGTGCAATAAGCGTGTTTGAGTGTGTGTGTGTTCTTCGAGTTTTGCATGCTTCACGTGTTTGTTCGTGCTTGTTTGTGATTGTACATTTGTGCGTTTGTGTGTGTGTGTCTTTATTTGTGCTTGTGTGTTTGTGTGCGCTCCTTCTTGTTTGTGTTTCTCATGGCTTGTGTATGTGTGCATTTCCGACTTGCGTGTGTGTGTGTGTGCGCGTGTGTAGCTGTGTTTTGTGCGCGTGAGTGGGTTTGATTTCATGCCTGCGTGCTTGCGTGCCTGCGTGCGTGTGTGCGCCTGCGCGTGGGATGCACATGCCACGCACACAAAACGCACGCAACACACACGCTTATCACATGTACACACACACACGGGGCACACCGCGCATCGCAAACCAAGGTGCAGATCGCTCCTTTGCCCCGTGCCATTCCGGAGCATCAGCCGCGTGGCTGCGCTATTTATTCTGTCATCTACATTGTATATTTTGAATTGCCTGGAAAGAATGCAAGCCTTCAGGCCCTTTCAGTTGCGTTTATCGTTGCGTCAGCAAAGGCTGGACATGAACCAGCCGGCACGTCTCACGAAGACGCTGGAGGCCATGGGCTGGACCAAGGAGATCCAGCAACTGAAGCAGGAAGTGGCGCACTTGAAGAGTGCTGCGCCCTCAGACTCGGAGTTGGGAGAGCGGTAGACCTGGCAAAGCTGGCAAGTCAAATGCTGAAGGTGCAACATGGCGTGTCCGTGCGTAAGGCGCCAATTCAACATTAGTTACACACACACATACTCATACACACCCAACCGCCCGCACGCAGGCAGGCAGGCGCACACACACACATCACACAACACAACACAACACAACACACAACACAAACACAAACACAAACACAAACACAAACATGGACAGACACAGACACAGACACAGACACAGACAGAGACACAGACACAGACACAGACACAGACACAGACACAGACACAGACACAGACACAGACACAGACACAGCCACAGCCACAGCCACAGCCACAGCCACAGCCACAGCCACAGCCACGCCACAGCCACAGCCACAGCCACAGCCACAGCCACAGCCACAGCCACAGCCACAGCCACAGCCACAGCCACAGCCACAGACACAGACACAGACACAGCCACAGCCACAGACACAGACACAGACACAGACACAGACACAGACACAGACACAGCCACAGACACAGACACAGACACAGACACAGACACATACACATACACATACACACACCACACACTCCACACACTCCATACACTCCATACACTCCATACACTCACACATGCACCAGAATATGCACGCACGCAAGCATGCACACGTGCGCGTGTCTGTCATAAGCGTGTTTGAGTGTGTGTTGTTCGAGCTTTGCGTGCTTCACGTGTTTGTGGGTGCGTGTTTGTGATTGTACATTCGTGCGTTTGTGTGTGTGTGTCTTTATTTATGCTTGTGTGCGCTCGTGCGTTTGTGTATCTGCAGTTGTGGGTGTTTCTGACGGCTTGTGTATGTGTGCATGTCCGATTTGCGTGTGTGTGTGTGTGTCAGTGTGTTGATGTGTTTTGTGCGCGTGAGTGGGTTTGATTGCATGCCTGCGTTCCTGCATGCCCGCACGCCTGCAGGCGTGTGTGTGTGTGCGCGCGCGCGGGTGTGTGTGTGTGTGTGTGTGTGTGTGTGTGTGTGTGTGTGTGTGTGTGTGTGTGTGTGTGTGTGTGTGTGTTTGTGTGTGTTGTGTGTGTGTGTGTGTGTGTGTGTGTGTGTGTGTGTGTGTGTGTAGCGTGTGCGTGTGCGTGTGCGTGTGCGTGTGTGTGTGTGTGTGTGTGTGTGTGTGTGTGTGTGTGGGCGTGTGGGTGTGTGTGTGCGCCTGCGTGTGGTATGCGCACGGCGCACACGCACAAACAGACCACATACGCGCGCGCACAAACGCACGCTTATCACACATGTACACACACGCGGGGCGCATCGCGCATCGCAAACCAAGGTGCAGATCGCTCCTTTGCCCCGTGCCATTCCGGAGCATCAGCCGCGTGGCTGCGCTATTTATTCTGTCATCTACATTGTATATTTTGAATTGCCTGGAAAGAACGCAAGCCTTCAGGCCCTTTCAGTTGCGTTTATCGTTGCGCCAGCAAAGGCTGGACATCAACCAGCCGGCACGTCTCACGAAGACGCTGGAGGCCATGGGCTGGACCAAGGAGATCCAGCAACTGAAGCAGGAAGTGGCGCACTTGAAGAGTGCTGCGCCCTCAGACTCGGAGTTGGGAGAGCGGTAGACCTGGCAAAGCTGGCAAGTCAAATGCTGAAGGTGTAACATGGCGATCAGTCAATTGCCCAGACCTTCATTGACCCAGGAATACGCCTTGAAATAGGGGCGAGGGTGCGTGGAAAGGGCGAGGCTCCAGAATACGCAGGCAATGGACTTCACTGTTTTGAGAATCTGAGATGGACCCCCGTGGGATGCACATCTGGGAAATGATTTGAAGGGAAATCAGATGCCAAACATGCCTCTCAGCTTCCATCAATCCAGGAGCACACATACGGAAAGGGGCGAGGTGTGTGGAGAGGGCGAGGGTGTATACTTGCGTCAACTATCAACTGTGTGCAAGCAGGTGCTGGGTTTTGTGCAGCTGCTTGTGGATCCAACATCTGACGCTGGCGCCAGGATGTTCGAGTACTTTTTTTGGCCACATAGTTGTTAGAGCAAGAAACTGGCCTGCCAAGCCTGTGTCGTAAGTGTCAGCTGATGGGTTCACAAGCAAACAAGATTTGAGATCATGCCTTCCAGCTGGCAACCTGCATGGATGCACACTTTGGTGAGAAACGGGCTATTGGCAATCGAGCATCCAACTCAGGAATCTTTTCCATATCCATTTTGCAAGTCAGTTGACGGTAAGATTTTGTTCAAACTTTCTTGGCCTGGATGGGTTTGGCAGAAAGAGGATTGAGAGCACGCGCCTTGATTGATTGATTGATGGTTCAAGTCAGGCTAGCTGCAGGGCGCACATTTTCTTGGGTATGAAACGGCATTTTCATGGACACGGCCATGGCCCTGCGCTTGTGCCCTCCTTGACAGTGCCTGCAGAGGCAATACCCTTGACAGTGCCTGCAGAGCCTGACTTTTCGCAGTTCTTCCAATCTGGCGTTCATTGTGCAGTGATCGAGCGCATGCGCCGTTCTGGGTTGATGTGCGATGCAGACATTGCTGGCCTGCGACCGGATGAGCTGGTGACAGCCATGTCTGGCTTTATTGACGATGAGGAAGCTGGATGGTACATCGAGCTTGCCCGTGGCGCTTTGGCATTCCTTGCCAGGCGTGCCAGTGGAGCCCCGCAGTGCGCTCGCCCTGTTGAAGGCCTCCCTGTGCCTGCTGTCAAACGGTGCAGGCTTGTGGGTAGCATTGCGCCGGGCGCCTTTCAGTGGTCGCAGAATGCTCTGACTGCCCTGAGGCCAGTTCACCAGCACTCTGAGATGGTCCATGCTTGCTGGGAGATCTATGCCGCCCTTGGCACGCATGGCGAGTTGTGGTCACCGTTGCTTGAGGAGCACCAGGCCATTGCTCGCGAAGGCCTGGCGAGTCGGCTGCAGATCTTTGAGCGGCGCACTCTGCAGGCGCAACTCAGCGCCCTGAGGCGGTGGGCCAATTATGTGTTGCAGTTTGGCAAAGGGCCTGCAGAAGTTCTGTTGCCTCCGGTTGCCCTGCTTTTTTCCTTCCTTAAGCAAGCGTCTGACGGAGGGCCAACTGCAGCGCAAGGACTTTTCCAGAAGCTGTTATGGTGGCGTCGGCATGTCGGCATACCATTCCCGCTGGGCGACCCCATGGTTGCAACGTGGAACCGAGTGGCCGAGGGACACTCTATCCAGCCTCGTGTGCCTTTGAGCTTTCGTGCTTTTCAGGCGCTCTGCAAGCTGGCCCTTGGTGGTTCCACGAACGTTGCTACGTTCGCATCTTTAGCCCTTATCCCATTAGTGGCTTGCCTGAGGTTCGCCCACGCGCAGCGATCAGCTGATTGGACGCTGTCCCACGACTTTGCTCGCGCGGTTTGCTTGAAGGGTAAGTCGCGCAAACATGGCACGCGGCCGTCGTTCGAATGGGCTGCTCCGATGCATGTTGGCAAGTGGAAGCATGTTTTGGGCTTAGCGTCAAGGGTCATCATTGACTTGCGCAGCCAGGTGCCTGACTTGTCCTTTTGTATCCCAGATGTTGCCTGTGGGCCCTCCGGTTGCCTGGACGAGCGTGCGCATTGGCGAGCAGCCCCGATGCCAATGGCGCGCTTTGTGAAGCTGTTGCACTCAGTGTTACGTAGCGAAGGTTTGCCTGATGCAGAAGTAGGCCTTATCAGCACTTACTCTTTGCGACGTTTTTTGCCAAGTGTAGCAGAGGTCTTGCGAACGCCAGTGGAAGTTGCCCAACACTTGGGAAACTGGACGGAGTCAGTTACGACCAAGCATGCCCAGCCAATGCCAGTGCAGATGAGCCAGCACTATGCTCATGACAGAGTGCTCTCCGCTGGGCACACTAAAGCTTTGTTGTGCGCAGCAGTTCAGGAGTTGCTCGAGACAGAATCCGGGCCGCTCGATTGGCAGTCTTTCCGCACAAAAGGGCTCAGCTGGCAGCAGATTTTAAATCGACATTCTGCTTTGACTCCTCCAGCAGACAAACCAGTAAATTGCCAGGGAAGTGACAGCGAAGCAAGCAGTGACGAGACTTCGTCCTCTTCCGACGGTGGCTCAAGTCACGAAGGGTTGCCGCATGACTTAGAGTGGTTTCGTTTTGCCCGTGGGGTTTCTCATATCGCACGTGAGCGCTCCCAATCCCAACCTGTTCCTTGGTGCCGTGGCACTCCGTTTGCGGGAATTCCCTTGGAGTGGGGCATCGGAATAGAGCCAGGCTTGCAGATTTGTGCCAAATGCCAAGCCTGCGTTCCACCGCACATTAAACGAGCAATCGACTCCTGCAAATAGACAGTGAAAGAATTCTGCGGCTGTGCGTAATAGGTCAGTGTGTTTGCCACTAAATTTCCTGACAACACAAGACACGCGGGTTTCAGGGCTTCGGGGGCCTTACACTCATGTTTTGTGGCCCTTCGGCCCTCGGCCTACATTTATGTCTTGTTGGCCCCCCTGTTTCTTTGCAAGCTTCAGCTTTGGCAAAGGCTTCTTGTTGCGGGGTTGTGCCTACTCTTATTTGATTTGTTTTCCTTTCACACGGCAGGCTTTTCCCCGAGTGGCGTGAGGCATGTCCAGTTTCAGGGCTTCGGGGGCTTCGCGCAGCCTTTTGGGTGCGTGGCCCTTCGGCTCTAATTGTTGTTTGTTTGTTGGCCCCCCTCTCTTGCAGATGCGGGTTTGTGCCAACTCCTTTTTTTTTAAAAAAAAAAAGATTTGATTGGCAAGTTCATCCAAAGTGACGTGAGACATGTCCAGTTTCAGGGCTTCTGGGGTTTCGCTGGCCCCCCTTCTCTTGCAAACTTTCGGCTTTTGCTGGGGTTTCTGCTGTTGCAGGGTTGCGCCCCCTTTGTTTTGACGGGCAGCTTTTCCCGAGTCACCATGACATGTCCAGTTCTAGGGCTTTGAGGGCTTCGCGCAGCCTTTTCGGTGCGCGGCCCTTCGGCCATTGACCTACGCTTGTTTTTGTTGTCGTAGGGATGCATCCACTCTTTGCTTGGCCAGGCTAGTCTTTTACTGATCTGGGACGAAGGTTTACGGAGATTTGTGTGTTTGCCAACTTTCAAATTCCCTCAGTCACGCGAGACATGTCGGGTTTCAGGGCTTCAGGGGCTTCGCGCAGCCCTTGTGGTTGCGTGGCTCTTCGGCCCTCGGCCTTAATTTATGTAGTGTTGGCTCCACCCTTTTTGTGGCAAGCTTTCAGCTTTTGTGCACTGGTTTTTAACTTGCTAGTCTGTTGTTGGGAATGATGCTTTACACGTGCATTTACACGACCTGCAGAGCTTCAACCATTGTGTTTGACTTTCCGTTGCTCGCTGCAGTCGCGGCCCATGTGTAGAATGCAGTTCCAACCCTAGCCATGCCAGCTCCTGGCACTAAGCCTGTTGCCAAAGATAAGGAGGCATTGCTGCAATTGTTTCGGCAACACCGCCTTGCAGACCCTTTGATTGAGCACTTGACAAAAATAGGCCTGGAGAGCTTGGCAGATTTTGTGGGCATAGTCGATAGCAAGGCGTTCGAGTCTGAGTTGAAATCCCTGATCTTTGACAAGTCGCCTTGCCAAGATGAGTTGGTCCAGTTGTCAAGACTACGCACAGCATGGAAAGAAGCCCAATCCACAGTAGAACAGGCTCGCAAGAGACGCCTTGACGGCGTGGCAGACGATGCTGAGGAACCTTTGGACCCGAGAACTCAGGAGGGATTGATGCAGTCGTTCTCTTCTATGTACTCTGTGCAGTTGTCCATGTACCTCATGCCTTCTGACACCTTACTTGGGCGAGTCTGGCGCGAGTTTGGGCGGGGGACCCCCACAGTCATTCCGGCGCGCAAGGTTCAGTCGCTGTACCAGGCGTCCAAAGGTGTTTCCAAGGAGTCAGTGAGCCTGGGGTCCAATATCCTGGTGCAAGTGCAAGCTGAGCCGCCAGCGTTGCGTTCTGTAGTAGCGTACTACTTCTGCTTGCGGGTGCTGGGGTACGCTTATGCTCTGGCTGGCACTCACAAGGTCCCGTCGGCAGCAAATCAGTCCCAGCAAGTCGTTTTTGCACCCCTGGATGTGAATCTCAATTACGCTGACTTCTGCCTCAGGCAGGTGACAGAGATCGTCCAGCAGCCAGGCCAGCAGCTGGCATGGTTGCAAGCCAAAGATGAGCACACCCGTGCCTGCATGGTTGATCTGATGCGTCAAGGTCTTTCCCAGGGAGAGGCGATGCAGCAAGCCCTTGCCCGTACTGAAGTGTCGTGGGCAATGCCGCCTACAGGGCCCGTTGTAGCAGCGCATCCTGCCAGCGAGACGGGCGAGGCGCCGTCCAAGCGCGTCAAGCAGGAGAAAACCGTGCGATGCTTGCCATCTGGGCAAGTGATTTGCAAAAAGCGCAACGATCAGCGTGGCTGTGCGAAAAATGAGAAGAGCTGCCCGGACAAGCGCAGACACTGTTGTGATGTTCGCAAGCCTGATGGGAACGCGTGCGGATCAACTTCTCACGTCCGCCAAGATTGCCCGCACTTGCGGTTGTGACTAGGTCCTCACGAGGGCCGCGATTTTGATTTTCGGACCCGGACTGATGAAATGCGTCGTGTGTGCCTTGTGCCTCCGGCAGGTAAGCTTGACGCTTGCCAGCCTTCTTCCAGAGCAGCGCATGTGTCAGCCGCCGCTGTGGATGGTAGCACGCCGCCTTTTGCTCAGTGGGTAGGCCGTGGTGGTCTGCCGTCGTTGCCGTGGGTCCCACCACGCCGAGGGCCTATTTTGCTAGTGTCGCTTTGCGATGGCTTCTCCGGGGCCGCCGTTGTAGTGGCTGCGCTCGGCCTCGAATTTTGCTTTGTGGCCGTCGAGTGTGACACCAGCTTGTCCCAAGCTGCGCAGCTAGTTTTTGCAAATTTTCTGCACTTCAGTGACGTGTGCAAGTTTTCCTTTGCCCAACTGCCCAAGCAGTGGCGCAGAGCCCAGTTTTGGTTGATTGTGATAGTTGCTGGTTCGCCTTGCCGCGGTAATGCTAGCCTTCACAGTAACAGTCAGATTTTCCAGCACGTGCAGCGGGTTGCTGGTGAAGCTAGGCAAGTAGCTTCTGCCCAGCATGTGGTCGGAATCTTCGACAGCGCTGCTTGCGTGCCGTGCGACTCTTGCGTCCCCTCGCCAGTTGTCCAAATATGCACTGAAGCAGCTGACTTTGGCCATGTTTGCAAGCCGTGCGTGTGGTGGTTGGATGTAGAGCCCAGGGTTGCAGATTTGTTGCTAAATGTCATTGTGCCCCATGTTGAATTTTGCGTCTCAGCGGGGCAGATTCGTGCCAAGTATGCTGGCAAGCCTTGCCCTAAGCGTGTGCACTTTGAAGGTGCGTTTGTCAAACGCGCCGCTCAGCCTTTCCCGTGGTTGCCGTGCCAAGCCCGCTCGCGCGCGGCAGAGCCTGCTGCTTCTTGTGAGGGAACATTGCTGTGGCGTGGCGACGCTTACCGACTCCCAAACGACCGGGAAAGAGCTCAGATGCACTGTGTGCCTAAGGCTTTACTTGAGGCCGTCCAAGCGCGCGCCAACGACTTGGGCGCAGATCTGAGTAGTTCCTTGCACGTGCCCTCCTTTACCTTGGTGCTATGTCTAGTGCTGACGCTGCTTGCGCCTATCAGCAAGGTGCCAGGCCCGTGGTACGCGCCAGATGAAGCTCGGCTCAGATCTCGTGTGAAGGGTACTGTTTTTGAACCAGGCCTTTACTCTGCCTTCCCAGGCTTGCTCTCTGCTCGCGATTTGGCAACGCGTGTGTGTCACAGGATGTCCGCGGAGGGCTTGGCATTTTCCCGACCGTTGCAAGCCTTGGTGGCGGCTCTGTCGCAGGTGCCATTGAGTGATCTGCAAATTTACTGGGTTGACACGCAACTTCGCGGGATGCCTGCTGATGTCCAAGGACCGCGCTGGGCGCAGCAAAAAGACCCTGCGCAGTCCTCTGCCGCCGCAGGCGTGCAGCGAGGGTCCGGCTTGTCCAAGTTCGCTCTGCCAGCGCTTCACAAGTCAGGTCTTTCCAAAGAAGCCCACATTGCCGAATCAGCCTTGTTGCAATCGCCTTTCGACTACAGTAGCCCTCTGGACGATGACTTGGACTTTGCTTGCCGCGCCATGATTGGCTTCGGCCCTTGGATTCGTACTTGGCGCGAAGCTCAACTTCGCGCGCTGCGTAAGTTGTCAAAAGTCCTGAGGCCGTGGGAAGCCGAGGCTGTTTCTCAAATGCCCGCTACTGTTGCTAGGGTTGCGTCGCGTAAGAGGCCTGTGTTCATGTTGGCTTGTACTTTGCTGCTGCGTTGGCCGGACGAGACCAACGCCCTCAGATACATCCTTGGTTTCCCTATAGTGGGCGACATTGAACACACGGGCCTTTTTCGGCAGCTAGAAGTCGACTGCGCGCAGCCAACAGGCCTTGACGTGTTGTTGGGCGCCTCAGCCGTGGCTAACTTGCGTGACTGTTTGCACCGTGTGCGACCCAGTGAACATGATGCCGCCTTGCTCGCAATGACGTTGCAAGAGGTGGCAGACGGCTTTGCAGATGGCCCCTTTGATGAAGAAGAGCTGAACGCCATGTTTGGCCGCGGAGGTTGGCGCCCTTTGGAAAGATTTGTTCACGTGCAGAGCTGCGGAAAGCTGAGGTGCATCGACTCTGGTAAAAAGTCTGGCCACAATAGGGCTAGCAGAGAAAGTGAAACAATTTTTGCCACAACTGTTGATGTCATCCCGGCCTTCGCTCGCCGAGCCTGCAGCCTTGCCCGCCAGCTGCAAGGGCCTGGCGAACATGACTTGCCTGAGTGGTTTTCTCTTGTGCTTGGCACGGAGGACATGAAAAATGCTTACAGACAGTGCCCTATCTTGCCTGCGCATAGGTGCTGCTCAGTAATTGCGTTTTGGCATTGCCACTCTTGCCGCGTCAAATACATCGTGCTCAACGGCTTGCCGTTTGGTTTGTCCTCTGCTGTACTTAGCTTCAACCGCACCCCTGCGCTGTTGACTGCCGTAGCTAGACGCTTCACTGGTTCAGCTGTTGCTTTCTTCTTCGATGACTCGTGCGTCCTTGACCTTGCTGCTGGTCACGGCCAAGCGCAGGCAGCGCTCCGAGAAGTGTACGCCTTGATGGGTGCTGTCCTAGACCCGGACAAATCTCAAGCGCCTGCTGGTTGCCGTGCTTTCCTCGGCTTGTCTGTTAATGTCGCCAAAGCGTCAGTTGCCGGGGTTGTTGAGTTTGAGCTGAAGGATGGGTTTCGCGAAGTGTTGCAACAGGACATCGATACTGTTCTGCAGGAGGGAATCTTGTCTTCCGGGCGTGCAGCCAAATTGCGAGGCAAACTTGGCTGGTCTGCGTCAGGAACGTATGGCCGATGTGCTCGCGGGGGCCAGGCGCCTTTGGTCCGCCGTCAGTACTTTGACACGGTGGATGTCCTTGATGAGCCTTTGAAGGACTCTCTTAGGTTCCACAGTCTTCTTGCCTGTGTAGTGCAGCCTCGCCAAGTGCAGGTCCTAGGCGCAGTTTTGCCTCCAGTGCGCATTTACTCTGACGCATCATACGAGCCTGACACAGATCTTGTTGCAGGTGTTGGTTTTGTTGTGTTTGACGCTGCCAGTGCCCAGCCCCCTGTGGGTATGGCTGCCCGACTTGCGCCGCAGGTTTTGCAGCTCTTTGATGAACGCCACCAGCAGATTACACCTTGCGAAGCCTTGTTGAGTGTAATTGTGCCTTGTAATGTCCCCCATCTTCTGGTTGGGCGCGATCTCATTTGGTACATTGACAATCAAGCAGCTTGCCAAATTCTCACCAAGGGTGCCAGTAGTGCAGGGGATTTGTGCTTCATCGCATCACTAGCGCATCTCCTGTACGCAAAGCTGAGTTGCAGGGTGTACTTCGAATACATCGAGTCGAATGCAAACCCTGCAGATGGTCTCTCCCGTGATGGCCTTGATGATGCGTGGACCTTTTCCCAAGGTTGGTCCTTGCTGCCGGCAATTGTGCCTGATTTAGTTCGCATTGCAGCGTCTTCGCTTGCAGCAGCTTTGACGGCATTGTAGCATTGGGGGGAACTTTGGGGTGGCTTGATTACACACACACACACACACTTCAGAGCGCCCTGTGGCTTTCACCTGCACTTTGTGCTGTGCGCCCTCTTGGCCTCTGTGTGTGTGTGCAAGCTTTGACTAACCCAATGACACTCCCTTCTTCAGCTTGCAGACATCGGCATTATCTCACACTGCATGCGAAAAAAAAAAAAAGTGCGCCTTCTGCAGCAAGTTGCCGAGCTTTCATTCAAACTTTCTTGGCCTGGATGGGTTTGGCAGAAAGAGGATTGAGAGCACGCGCCTTGATTGATTGATTGATGGTTCAAGTCAGGCTAGCTGCAGGGCGCACTTTTCTTGCCCGCCCACCACGCCCTGGCATTGCCAAGAGTCTTGGCCTGCCTGTGATTTCTTCTGCCAAGCTTGAAGTGGGGTGGCTTGATTCCACACACACACACTTCAGAGCGCCCTGTGGCTTTCACCTGCACTTTGTGCTGTGCGCCCTCTTGGCCTCTGTGTGTGTGTGCAAGCTTTGACTAACCCAATGACACTCCCTTCTTCAGCTTGCAGACATCGGCATTATCTCACACTGCATGCGAAAAAAAAAAAAAGAGTGCGCCTTCTGCAGCAAGTTGCCGAGCTTTCAACATCCTTTGCCAAAGTGTGTGATTTGCAGTTTGACATAACCCCTCAAAATTACTTTAACCAGGCTGGTGTTGGAAATCCAGCAGGAGGGAGGCGGAGAGACGGAGGGCAAAAAATCACCTCCGCAGGGAGTCTCCGCAGCGGCCCCTGATGCGCCTGCGCCGGCTGCACCCGGCAGGGCACTGCGTGCTGCTGGTCTCCGCCAGCTTGCCGGCGCTGCCGGAAATCCATCGCCGGGAGCGGCTGGTCAGCCCCCTGGACAAGGACGCCGACAAGTTTCCTTCTCGGGGTGATGTGAAAAGGGGGAGTGAGGCACCTGTTAAGTTTGTTGGAAGTTCCGGTGTAGCTGTCAGACAGGATGCCGGCCGTGAAGCTGTACGGGCGGAGGCAGCAAATGCGTGCGCGTGGCGAGCGTGGCAGCGAGCCTTGGGCTGTGAGAGTTCGCTTTCAAGCTCGTTTCTACTTGTTTTTTCATTGTCATCACAGGTCGCACGATGCCTTATGCAATCGCACCTTGGAGAATTTATGCATGTATGCAATGTAATGTACACAAGAAACGGAATGTACTGTGATGCAAGGTGATGTACAAATCGGTTGGTCGATGCTCAGGGGGCTGAATTTCTTAGCGTCCATTTCGTCACGTCACAAACCAAAAATAATGGGTTCAACTCTTGGCGTGCGGAGGTGGCTTTCTTCCTAGCACAAGCTACAAGTTGGCTAAGAAATTGGACTGACAAATCCAGGGGTGCTGAATTTCTTAGCAGCAAATGCAGTTGCAACCTGCTTGATTTGGGAATCTCAGCCCCTCAATTTCTTATACAATGATTTCTTCTCCAGTGCTTACACTGCAATGTAAAGCAGCGCAGTGTTCACGTAATGTGGTATGTGTGTATTTTGTGTTATGTTGTTCTATGCTACATTGCGTTACCTTGCGTGTATGTAATGTATGTAATGTGTGTAACGGTGCAATGTGTGTGATGTGTATTTAATGTATCCGGGCAAACTTAGAATGTATTTGGGATCCCAGGGCTTCGGTTAGTCTTCGGGTAAGAGGTCGCCGCTTGGAATTCGGCATGTCTGAACACGCGCAATTCAAAACTGCAGTGTTCACAAGATTAGCTCAAGTCGAATTTGCGTCCCCGACAGTTTGGTTGCTCGAAGCATCAGCGGCAGCGTCAGTGTCGGGGGTTGTGGTTGGTTGCACCAAACGACATACGTTTTTTGTCGTTTTGACTCGTATAAGTAAGATTTCGCGCAAGTTCGCGCAAGTGTTTTGCAAGCGGAAGCACCAGGCCGAGGCGGTTTCATGACTGGTTACCCTCCAGTCCCTTTTGCCATAGTAACTTTGAAGCCCTACCTGCTGCTATGCTGCCAGCTGCTATGCTTCTTTTGCTTCTGCCGGTCACGCTTGTACAGTGGCCACTTGTGAGTTCCCAATCTTGAGGTCCCAACTAGAGCACACAACTTGCAAGAAGGCCGCCGCTTGGAATTCAATGCGTGTGAGTGTAGGTAAAGAGCGTGAACACCGGTTTTTGCGCCTCATGTGATGTATGTATGTGTGTATGTATGTGTGTATGCAATGCATGTGTGTAATGTTGACATAATGATCGTAATGTCGTGAAATGTAACGTAATGTAATGTATGTATTGTATGCATGTAATCTATATACGCAATGTCACGTTTTGTATGTAATGCAGTTGTATGTTATGTTATGTTATGCTATGTTATGTTATGTTATGTATGTATGTTCGACGCATGCATGAATGTATGTATTGTACGTAATGTGTGTAAAGTATTTTACGCATGCGATGTATGTACCCGATCTCATTTTCTGAGAATCACTTGCGGGAATTCTTACGGGAGCTCACCAGAATGGCCTTTGATCGGTGCTCATGATCCAGCCGATGAAGCTTATTGTAAACGCTGCGCGTTGCCTCGGCCAAGCCGAGCACGCAGCGCCTGTGGTTCGACTGCAAGCAGCAGAGCTGGTCAAGTGGCGACTCAGGTTCTGGCGTCGTAGGACCTGGGCCTTGCAGGAATCCGCGAGGCAAGGGCAAGGCCTGGGGCTGGGCGGGCTGGGATGCGCCTTGCTTGGGTGGTTGCTGGGGGCCTGGGCGGGCTGGGTTGGGGTGTGGGCCAGCAGGAGGTCATGCTTTTCGAATATTTTTTGGTGAGTTTCAGATTTGTGACAGGAATGGGCCTATGGAGCTGCGCGGCGACGAGCCCCGAAAACTTCAAGGCCCGCCGGACAGGATCTTAGGGCCAGCAGACATGGGTGGGCGGCGAGATCTGAGCGCCCTTGGCCTTTTACCTTTTTGGGTTGGGCCGATGCAATTTTAGGGAATACTCACAGGAGTGTATGCGTGTATGTGTGATGTGTGTGAGTATGTGTGTGTATATTTGTAATGTATGTATGTATGTATGTATGTACGTACGTATTGCGCTGCCATGCGATGTGTTGTAATGTAAAGTAAAGCAATGTAATTCAAAGTAAAGTACGTGTGCAAGTGTGTATGTAGCGCGCATATGCAGTGTAATGTATGGTTCTTATGCTATGTTATATTATATGCTGTGTGTGTTATATATATATATATGTATACATATGTGTATGCATGCATGCATATCTGTGTGTATGTACGTACGTACGTACGTAAGTGCGTACGTGTGTGTAATGTAACGCAACAAGAATTTCGCCTCTCAGCCGCGAGGGCCCCACGTGTTTTGCCTGAACCCTGGTCAGTCGTTTCTTGACGTCGCGGCTTCCAGGCTTTGTGCTGCGCGTTGCAGCAAGATCGTGCACGCACTGGCGACAGTCTGCGAGCCAGCGCGCCTGATGCGCTGACAAGGCTCGTAGACGGATTTCTGCTCAGAATGGTCTCTACAGCTGAGACAACGATCGGTAGGGATAGTTCAGGGCATGTAACGGTGTTTTGTTGCTAAGGCCGCGTTGCAAGCCACTGCGCCTGGCCTGCGGAGATGCGCCGAAAGTTCGGGGATCGTGCCAAAACGGTGTCAGTTCATTGGACGGGATCCCAAGCCTTGAGGCACGTTCACATCTTGCGACGCGCCCGCCAAATTCGGTCTATCTTGAAGTTGGGGAGCCGCCAATCGGTCGGTATCAAACTCTCCGCTGCGAAAATGAGAGCTTGCCGGGCAGGTATGGAGCAGCTGCTGGGACTCAGGTTGGAGGCCATCGAGGCAGCTCTCACAAATTCAAACTGAGCTGTTTGCCTTTTCAAAGACACTTCCAAGGGCCCGAAGCTAACATCTTGCAGGACATGCTCCTGGGCCTGTCTTCGCAAGGCTGGCTTTCCCAAAGAGATGCGAGCTCAGAGTTTTGAATATAGATTGATGTAGAGAATCAGGCTGTGTAATGTTTTGTGCAGCTGCCTCAGGCTTGGGCAACTTCCGCAGCAAGCGCCGTGAGAAGGCACAGAGTCCAGCTGAGCAGCGCCCAAAAGCCCCCACGGGATCTTTGTCTAGTTGTTTTCCTAAATAGCTTGCGCGAAAGAAAACCCCAGCGTCGCGAAAGCTCGCGAAGGCGTGGCCCCTGGGACATTCTAGGGGGTGGCTTTCTTTACGCACTACCCTTGCATATTATGTACTTAAAAGTTCGCTGGAGCGGCCCAAGTGTGCTTGCCGCTTGTCGCACTACTCTTGTGCATAAAATTTGCGTTTGTCAGGCTGGAGCTACCAAGGTGTAGTCAAAGCAAGTTTAGAAGCAACTTCCGTAGTACTGGAACTAATTGGGCTAGCTGCTTGACACATAGACAGCTTTCCAATATGGTTAGCGTGAGATAGATAGCTTTGACAAAAAGGTAGCTTGGCAGAAAGATAGCTTTAAGATGCATGAATGCACGAAAAGGCTAAGCAAAGTACAGAAATCAGGAGAGCTGGGATAGATAGGCAGAGAGATAGATAGAAATGAGCTAGACAGATAGATAGATACTTGGATAGATAAATAGATAGATAGCTAGATAGAGAGATAGAGAGAGTAAGAGAAATATAGCTAGCTAGGTGGATAGCCAGATAGCGAGAGGGAGAGAGAGAGAGAGAGAGAGAGAGATAGAGAGTGCGGGATAGACAAAGAAGATAGACAAATAGACAGATAGACAAACAGATGGATAAGTAGAGAGATAGAAAGATGGATAAACAACATGTGGATAGATCGGCAGCGAAAGGCAGAGCAAGATAGTAAGATAGATAGATGGAAGCGACGTAGCTAGATGTGTAGATGGATAGACAGATAAATCTACAGACAGATAGATAGATAGATAGCTACATAGATGGGTGGACAGCTAGATAGTTAGATAGTTTGATAGAGAGAGATATGGGTAAGTAGGTAGATAATAGGTAGGTAGCGTTAGAGAGATCAATTTGGAAGTAAAAGGAAAGAAAAGAAAGAAAGAAAGAAAGAAAGAGAGAAAGAGAGAGAAAGAGAGGGAGAAAGAAAGAAGGAAGGAAGGAAGGAAGGAAGGAAGAAAGGAAGGACATAAGGAAAGAATGAACGAACGAAAGAAAAACAAAAAACAAACAAGAAAGAAGGAAGGAAGGAAGGAAGGAAGGACGGAAGGAAGGAAGGAAGGAAGGAAGGAAGGAAAGCAAGAAGAAAACAAAAAGGGCCAAGAAGTGAAAGAGAAAAATAACTATAGTTTGTATATTTTTGAAACTTCCGTTCCCCGGCTCTGCCGGACTTTACTGGTATTGTTGTACTGAGAAGTTTCCCTTCTAATTTCAAGGAGTCGCGACGAAAGGGTTGATGCAAAACAAGCGCCGTGGCGGGCGAAGAGACGCGCGGGCAAGCTTCACGCAAGCTGCGCGAAGGAGCGCTCTGAGGGTAGCCCAATCTGAGCCGGTTTGGAGTGCTGCTCAGCTGAGTTGCTAGAAGACGGCTTTGGAGGTTTTGGCAGAAGAGCCCTTGGTGACGCATCGAGTGGAAGAGGAGGACATGTGAAGCGCTCGGATGGCATCGACCCAGGATCTGGGAGCGACTGGCACCGAGGTTTCGGCTGCACGAAGCCTTCGCGAAGACAAAGTGAGCGAGAGGTTGAGACTTTGAGACTTTGAGCTTGCACGTGTGAGGTGTGCCCATCCGGCCATAGACCCAACACGTGTTGTTGTTGCTGGGGCCACACAGAGGAGTTGTTACGCCGCCCCGGCCGTCCGCCCTTACAGGCTGGGAGTGAATTGGAGTGAGTTAGCCAAGACCTTCAAAGTCAGCTTGGCGCAGACTTTTCAATTTTAGTCAAGACACCAAGGAGCAACATGCGAGTCACAAGAGACGAGCTTCAGCCAAGTCGGAGCTTCCACCGGCTTTTACCGGCTGCGAGTGCTTTGCGATGAAGTTGCGGAGGGCTTGCAGAGCCAGGTGACGCTTGGCAGGCGTGTGTCCCAGAAGCCTCCAGATCTAACCGACATAAGCCAATTTAAGTGAATGGGGTCCCGTGCCCAGAGTAGGCAACTTGGCAATGTGTGTTGCATTTTTGCATCTTTTGCGACTGGTAGGCTGTGAGTGCCTTGGCGCATTCCACATACCAGTTTTGCCGATCCTTGTTATAGTCGAATGAGCCAGTGCGTTTCTACGGTGTGTCCTTTTCGTGTGACTAGGTCTGAATTGCGGTCGCTCATTGCGCGGTGCGTTTTCAGGTCTAAGCAGAGGGCATGACAGACATGGCAGCGGGATGCTAAGTGGAGTTTCGACCTGCTTGAGAAGCCTGATTCTGGCATCAGACATGGTAAGAGCTTCGCGCGCCGTGGGAAGAGCTGCGCGAGCAATCCAGTGTGTTGTGAATGCATGGTGGCTTGCTCCTGACCGTACACGTGCGCAGTGAGGCCCCAGCAGAAGGTGTCACAGCAGCCGCAGAGGCGAGATGCCGAGCTGGGACATCAACACGAGTGGCAGTTGTTTTCTGTAGCTTGTGTTCCCAGTTTTCCTCACTAACTCGGGCTTGCCTCCAGAGAGAAGGCAATAGCCACTGATCAGCTTGTTGCTGTAGCTTTGACATGATTAGCCACGGTGCGCTCAATCAAGACGTATGCAATGTCTGAGGCTCCAGCAGAAGGTGTCACAGCAGCCGCAGAGGCGAGATGCCGAGCTGGGACATCAACACGAGTGGCAATTGTTTTCTGTAGCTTGTGTTCCCAGTTTTCCTCACTAACTCGGGCTTGCCTCCAGAGAGAAGGCAATAGCCACTGATCACCTTGTTGCTGTAGCTTTGACATGATTAGCCACAGTGCGCTAATCAACACGTATGCAATGTCTGAGGCTCCAGCAGAAGGTGTCACAGCAGCCGCAGAGGCGAGATGCCGAGCTGGGACATCAACACGAGTGGCAGTTGTTTTCTGTAGCTTGTGTTCCCAGTTTTCCTCACTAACTCGGGCTTGCCTCCAGAGAGAAGGCAATAGCCACTGATCACCTTGTTGCTGTAGCTTTGACATGATTAGCCACAGTGCGCTAATCAACACGTATGCAATGTCTGAGGCTCCAGCAGAAGGTGTCACAGCAGCCGCAGAGGCGAGATGCCGAGCTGGGACATCAACACGAGTGGCAGTTGTTTTCTGTAGCTTGTGTTCCCAGTTTTCCTCACTAACTCGGGCTTGCCTCCAGAGAGAAGGCAATAGCCACTGATCAGCTTGTTGCTGTAGCTTTGACATGATTAGCCACGGTGCGCTCAATCAAGACGTATGCAATGTCTGAGGCTCCAGCAGAAGGTGTCACAGCAGCCGCAGAGGCGAGATGCCGAGCTGGGACATCAACACGAGTGGCAGTTGTTTTCTGTAGCTTGTGTTCCCAGTTTTCCCACTAACTCGGGCTTGCCTCCAGAGAGAAGGCAATAGCCACTGATCAGCTTGTTGCTGTAGCTTTGACACGATTAGCAACGGCAAATCCAGCCAGCGGGCCAGTGAATGCTGGTGGGACGAGGTTTGTTCTTTGTGAGAATGATGATGTCTACCTCTGATTTATAAACTACCCACCCCGAAACAGCTTCCCTCCCCAAATAATTCTCCCAACCTGATTACGAATTGCTAAGTATTGCTCACAGATTTGTTGTGTTTCAATTGATTCAGTATTGCTGGAGCTTCCTTTTGAGATTTGACTTGTCGAAGTTTCAATTGAGTTTGTATTGCTGATGACATATTTGTTGCTGGGGCGGGGGCAACCAGGAATCTTTATTTAGGGGGCCCCCTAAATTCTTTTTTTTCAGCCCCCAAGTACTACCCCCCTTGTGGGGTTGATTGGGGGGCCACTTTTTAAACAAGAGTATGTAAAGAATTTGCAGTTTGGGAGCTGGTATTTTCTGTAGATCTGATTTTTTGAGGCAGGCGAGGCAGATACTGACCGATCAGACCAGCTAGTGGAAGAGGTTGAGATGATGCTAGCGGGTGTGTGTGTGTTGTTTGGTGTGTTTTTGTGAGTGTGTGTGGATTCCCCACAAAAAGAAAAACACACAACTCTATTTGTTGGGGGGTTATTAATCAGTGCCGGCCTGCAACATAAGTGTAATCGCTGGGGTTTAATCATAGGTCGACATTATTGTGAGAAAGAATGTTGTGCAAGATTCTAAGATTGTGCAAGCATGGTGGCTTGCTTCTGACCCTTCTGACCGTACATGTGCGCTCAATGAAGACGTATGCAATGTCTGAGGCCCCAGCAGAAGGTGTCACAGCAGCCGCAGAGGCGAGATGCCGAGCTGTGATCAGTTGTGGCGGTACGGCTGGCCTTGCACATGAACGACCATCAACACGAGTGGCAGTTGTTTTCTGTAGCTTGTGTTCCCAGTTTTCCCCACTAAGTCGGGCTTGCCTCCAGAGAGAAGGCAATAGCCACTGATCAGCTTGTTGCTGTAGCTTTGACACGATTAGCAACGGCAAATCCAGCCAGCGGGCCAGTGAATGCTGGTGGGACGAGGTTTGTTCTTTGTGAGAATGATGATGTCTACCTCTGATTTATAAACTACCCACCCCGAAACAGCTTCCCTCCCCAAATAATTCTCCCAACCTGATTACGAATTGCTAAGTATTGCTCACAGATTTGTTGTGTTTCAATTGATTCAGTATTGCTGGAGCTTCCTTTTGAGATTTGACTTGTCGAAGTTTCAATTGAGTTTGTATTGCTGATGACATATTTGTTGCTGGGGCGGGGGCAACCAGGAATCTTTATTTAGGGGGCCCCCTAAATTCTTTTTTTTCAGCCCCCAAGTACTACCCCCCTTGTGGGGTTGATTGGGGGGCCACTTTTTAAACAAGAGTATGTAAAGAATTTGCAGTTTGGGAGCTGGTATTTTCTGTAGATCTGATTTTTTGAGGCAGGCGAGGCAGATACTGACCGATCAGACCAGCTAGTGGAAGAGGTTGAGATGATGCTAGCGGGTGTGTGTGTGTGTTGTTTGGTGTGTTTTTGTGAGTGTGTGTGGATTCCCCACAAAAAGAAAACACACACAACTCTATTTTTTGGGGGGTTATTAATCAGTGCCGGCCTACAACATAAGTGTAATCGCTGGGGTTTAATCATAGGTCGACATTATTGTGAGAAATAATGTTGTGCAAGATTCTAAGATTGTGCAAGCATGGTGGCTTGCTTCTGACCCTTCTGACCGTACATGTGCGCTCAATGAAGACGTATGCAATGTCTGAGGCCCCAGCAGAAGGTGTCACAGCAGCCGCAGAGGCGAGATGCCGAGCTGTGATCAGTTGTGGCGGTACGGCTGGCCTTGCACATGAACGATCATCAACACGAGTGGCAGTTGTTTTCTGTAGCTTGTGTTCCCAGTTTTCCCCACTAAGTCGGGCTTGCCTCCAGAGAGAAGGCAATAGCCACTGATCAGCTTGTTGCTGTAGCTTTGACATGATTAGCCACGGTGCGCTCAATCAAGACGTATGCAATGTCTGAGGCTCCAGCAGAAGGTGTCACAGCAGCCGCAGAGGCGAGATGCCGAGCTGGGACATCAACACGAGTGGCAGTTGTTTTCTGTAGCTTGTGTTCCCAGTTTTCCCCACTAAGTCGGGCTTACCTCCAGAGAGAAGGCAATAGCCACTGATCAGCTTGTTGCTGTAGCTTTGACACGATTAGCAACGGCAAATCCAGCCAGCGGGCCAGTGAATGCTGGTGGGACGAGGTTTGTTCTTTGTGAGAATGATGATGTCTACCTCTGATTTATAAACTACCCACCCCGAAACAGCTTCCCTCCCCAAATAATTCTCCCAACCTGATTACGAATTGCTAAGTATTGCTCACAGATTTGTTGTGTTTCAATTGATTCAGTATTGCTGGAGCTTCCTTTTGAGATTTGACTTGTCGAAGTTTCAATTGAGTTTGTATTGCTGATGACATATTTGTTGCTGGGGCGGGGGCAACCAGGAATCTTTATTTAGGGGGCCCCCTAAATTCTTTTTTTTCAGCCCCCAAGTACTACCCCCCTTGTGGGGTTGATTGGGGGGCCACTTTTTAAACAAGAGTATGTAAAGAATTTGCAGTTTGGGAGCTGGTATTTTCTGTAGATCTGATTTTTTGAGGCAGGCGAGGCAGATACTGACCGATCAGACCAGCTAGTGGAAGAGGTTGAGATGATGCTAGCGGGTGTGTGTGTGTTGTTTGGTGTGTTTTTGTGAGTGTGTGTGGATTCCCCACAAAAAGAAAAACACACAACTCTATTTGTTGGGGGGTTATTAATCAGTGCCGGCCTGCAACATAAGTGTAATCGCTGGGGTTTAATCATAGGTCGACATTATTGTGAGAAAGAATGTTGTGCAAGATTCTAAGATTGTGCAAGCATGGTGGCTTGCTTCTGACCCTCTGACCGTACATGTGCGCTCAATGAAGACGTATGCAATGTCTGAGGCCCCAGCAGAAGGTGTCACAGCAGCCGCAGAGGCGAGATGCCGAGCTGTGATCAGTTGTGGCGGTACGGCTGGCTTTGCACATGAACGACCATCAACACGAGTGGCAGTTGTTTTCTGTAGCTTGTGTTCCCAGTTTTCCCCACTAAGTCGGGCTTGCCTCCAGAGAGAAGGCAATAGCCACTGATCAGCTTGTTGCTGTAGCTTTGACATGATTAGCCACGGTGCGCTCAATCAAGACGTATGCAATGTCTGAGGCTCCAGCAGAAGGTGTCACAGCAGCCGCAGAGGCGAGATGCCGAGCTGGGACATCAACACGAGTGGCAGTTGTTTTCTGTAGCTTGTGTTCCCAGTTTTCCTCACTAACTCGGGCTTGCCTCCAGAGAGAAGGCAATAGCCACTGATCAGCTTGTTGCTGTAGCTTTGACATGAGTAGCCACGGTGCGCTCAATCAAGACGTATGCAATGTCTGAGGCTCCAGCAGAAGGTGTCACAGCAGCCGCAGAGGCGAGATGCCGAGCTGGGACATCAACACGAGTGGCAGTTGTTTTCTGTAGCTTGTGTTCCCAGTTTTCCCCACTAAGTCGGGCTTGCCTCCAGAGAGAAGGCAGTAGCCACTGATCAGCTTGTTGCTGTAGCTTTGACACGATTAGCAACGGCAAATCCAGCCAGCGGGCCAGTGAATGCTGGTGGGACGAGGTTTGTTCTTTGTGAGAATGATGATGTCTACCTCTGATTTATAAACTACCTCTGATTTTTTGCGGCTTGTGTCTGTAGTTTCCGCCAACAGCTCAGCATGGAGCCATAGCCAATCTTCAGCTTGTCAATACAGCTTGGAGTTCAGGGAAGCAGCACAAGCTCGCAGGTCTTTACAGCTGCAGGCTGGGGAGTGAATTTTATGGGCACGTCGGCACTCAGGCTTTGTGATTGCCGATTGCACTTGTCCAAATGGTTCGTTTTTCTGTGTGAGGCGAAATTCAGCCACGAGCTGTCAGCAAGGATATTGAGATCTCAAGCTCACGGACGAGCCGCTGCGGGTCCTCATCTTCTGTCATGTCGATCCACGTGCAAATTCCTGCCAACGTCCGGCCTGGGGAGATGTTCTACGTGGTGGTTGGGGACATGGAGTACGAGATCTGGGCGCCCGAGAACTCTAAGCCCGGGGAGATGGTCGTGATGTCCGTGGACGAGCCGCGCGAGAGCTCCGCCTCAGCCTCGGCCTCGGCGGCCTCGGTGGGGGTGATGTTCTCCAGCGCGGAGCCCAGCGCGCAGGTCACTGCCAGCCACACGAGCCAAGCCGTCCAGGCCTCGCATCCTTCGCAGTCCATCTCCGTGCCCTCGCAGTCGCAGCGCCCAGACACCGGCACGGACTACGAGCCTTCGGAGTCGGCTTCCGCAGCGTCCGTGGCGACAGACGCGAGCCTGGTGCAAGTGCGCATCCCGGAGAACTGCAGCTCGGGGGACACTTTCTTCGCCACGGTCTACGGCTTGGAATTCGAGATCCTGGTGCCGCGGGGCTGCCAGACGGGGGATCTCATCGAGCTGGAGGTGCCGTCCAAGCGCGCCATCGCCAAGTTCGGGCCCGAGTCCGCCTCGGCGCCCTCGGTTTTGGACCGGTCTTTGGACCGTTTGGACCGCTCGGACGACTCCAACGACAGCTTTTTCGCGGAGCTCTGCGTGCCACAGGGCGTGAGTGCGGGCCAGAGCTTTGTGGCGGCCATCGACGGCTCCGAGTTCGACGTGCCCGTGCCAGCCCTTTGAAACAAAGATTGGGCATGGCTTCGTGACGGCTGCGTGATGTCGACCCGGGATTAACTGAGGTGACTTGTTCGTATTGGTAGTACGGTAGGCTTGAGTTTTTTATTGCTAGGCGGACATGATTGAAACATATTGTCAGAGAAGTAAGCAGGGCGTGCCAAAATGGGAGTGGTTTGCATTCATGTTGACGGAGACGCTTATGCCATCCATACTGAGCGCCCTCCCTTTTTAATGGAACAGCCTCCTTGGTTTATCTCCCAGAGCGATAGATCCGGTCGACACTTAGGCGCTCATTGGGTCATACTTTGTTTTCCTTTGGCTGCAATCACCAAGAAGCAACTTGTCCGGTTGTTGGGTTCGCGCGCAGTTCGCTCGGTTCGCCCAGGAGGGCTACGGACCTGGCGACATACTGGCGCTACAGCTACCCTCTCGAGGCGCCCCGCCCTCCCCGCTGCCCTCCGCCCACAGCTCAGCGTTTTGGGGTGAGCTAATTTAGCTCCCGTCTGACATAAGGTCAGTGCTTCGCGCTTTCTGCACCTAGGAATTGGATGCCTTGCGGCAAGAGCTGCAGGAAATGCGGCAGGCAGGGCTTTGCTTCTCTCTGACTTGTATTCCAACCGAACGGGGTGATGCCGGGCGTGACCAGGAGCTGCAGCAGGTCCGCCAGATGCGGGACTCGCGGGACTCGCGGGACTCGCGTGAGCGAGACTGGCGGGAGCGGGACCCGCACCTGGGCCGAGGAATCGAGTCCGCATGTCTTAGAAACGCAGTCGAGATTGTTGCGGGTATGAGTCCCTCCTCTCCTCTCTTCTCCCTTGCCTTGGGGTCTGGGACAAGTTGAGAGGGTTTTGAACAATGGTGGCGTGTGCGGCTGTGGCCAGTGCGCTACACAGTGTTTCGGCTTAGGTGTTTGAATGCCCTTCCCAGATGTTGGCCTGTTGTTGCCGTGCAGCAAACTTCTTGCAGATCAGGCAGCTCAATACTGAGTCCAAGTCGTCGGCAGATTCCTTCATTGAGATCCTCATTCCTCCAGATTGCTATGCAGGAGCGGCTTGCTTGTCTGCGCAAACATTCATGCAAGGTCATTTTGCCATATTTTGCCGTGCCTGCTTTGCGCTCACCCAGCCAGCCAGGAGACACGTTTGTTGTTGAAGTGGACGATATGGAGTTTCAGATGGCCCATCGCTCAGATGGCTTGAGCTAGAGCCAGCACAGGATGCACAGAAATTGCCAGCATCGGCAACCGCTATATTTATGGCAGTGCGGTGCAATGGTCTATTGCGTGCAAGCCAGTGCAACGGAACTTGGGAACTGCGCTTGCCTCGAAACCAAGGCGGTGCCGGATGGATGCTGTCCAGGCGAGACAATTTACATGGACTTGCGAGAGGCGCGAGCGATGCGTTGCGTTCGAAGTTCGTCGAAACGATCGCTGCGTCGCCCAAGGGCGGTGGATATACAGCCAACTCGCTCAGCAGCAAGCAGAAGAGCAACTCTAGACCTCCCTCCGCCGTTCGGAAGCTGGTGAAGGAGGCTTCTGGGGTGGGGCCTGGAAGAACCTGCGCGGAGCACTTTTTGATGGCTAGCAGAAGAGGGCCGGCCGAATTATCTCTAATGTGCCAAGATTCAGATCCTTGTGTTGTTCACCATCCTGTTAAGTATTCTCAACTAGGATTTGGATCCGGCACCGGATAGGATGCCACATGAAGGCTGCAACATGCTGGATAGGAATTGGTGGCGACAGAAGAGAAGGATGAGACCATCACGGCTTCCCCGTCTGTCCCAGCCGAAATCCTGGAAATCACCATCCCAGAGGCTCCGGAGCCGCATCAGGTTCATGTTGGTTCTATGTTGGTTTCCTTCGCAAGCTGCCCTCACAAGAGTGCGTAGACTTATCTTGGCACACACACACACACGCACAAATCGATTCTCTCTTTTCCCCAGCTCGGCCTGTGAGGATTGCTACCCTGGCGACCCCTTCATCATCGAGGCGGCGTGAAACTTGTTTCATTTCATGAAGCTGCATCCCTGCAGCGAAACCATGCTCTTCAATGAACCTGAGCATGGGCGGGTATACCCATCGGCATATTTGCCCACCGCCAGCCAATCCAGTTGGATGCATTGAAGTCATCTCAATGCGATCATCAAGTCTGAGAAACAATGCTCAGCGTTGCATTTAGGGACGACATGCGCATCAGAGTGTCAAAGCGTAGCCGCCTGCGCTGAATTTCATCGGCGCAAGTGCCAATTTGCCCTTAGACTTATCGCGAGGTGAACGACGTTGAGCTGGAGCTTACAGTTCCTGCCGGATGTCAGCCAGGGGAGGTGATCTACATGGACTTGCTGCCTGAAGGATCGGAATCTCGAGGGCCAGAGAGCGTTGCGACCCAAAAACATGCAAGTGAAATGGATTTGTTGAGGTCAAAGCAGCACGCAGCTAGACTTGAAAGCCTCAAAACAGAGGCATAAGTGAGTTTCGTAGGGTTGTAGTTCAAGTGAAGCACTAGCACCTAGGTGCCTTGGGCTGGGTTTGGCTGTCACATTCGACTTCGGACATGTGGACGACGCCCTCAGGCACCCTGACCAACTCCCGGCCTGCCTCCGCGACCACTGCGGACGACAAGTCGCGGCTCGGGCGCAGGGCGCCATTTGCTTGGTTGATATTTCCATCACGAATATGATACTGCAGTGTATATAGTCATGGCCCCCACGTAAGACAACCTACAAGGTAATGCATTGTTCTGTGTTGTGTGTGTGTGTGTGTTCCAGTTGTTCTCAGTCTCAATATGGACAGAACTCACAACCGCACACATACGCATGAGCTGGTCCAGTGTGACCTGGCTGATGGAATACGGTATGCTTCGTTGCGATACAAGTTGATGTCAGCTAATGTCGTATGATGTCAGGAGTGTCTGGTTTTTCGTGCTCTGCGCGCCGGCCTTACATGTCGGAGCCCGAGATGGATGGATGGATGGATGGATGGATGGATGGATGGGTGGGTGGGTGGATGGGTTGATTGGTGGGTGGGTGGGTGGGTGGATGGGTGGATGGGTGGATGGGTGGATGGATGGGTGAATGGGTGGATGGGTGGATGGTGGATGGACGGATATGAATGGAAGGAAGGACGGACGGACGGACGGACGGATGGATGGGAGGGAGGGGTGGATGCATGAATGGATCGCTGAATGGACGGATGAATGTGGATGGATGGGCTGGGGGAGGGATATATGGGATGGGATGGGATGGGATGGGATGGGATGGGATGGGATGGGATGGGATGGTGGGATGGATGGAGGGATGGACGGTAGATGGATGGATGCGCACGTCCGTGAGTGCGCCGCGCGCGTCATCAGGACTAGCTGGGACGCAGGTGATGCGCGAAACAGCTTCCGACGCTGGCAACGCAGCCGGGTTGCTGCGTGTGAGCCTTCCCCCAACTCGAGCTCCTGGCTGCGCGGGCGGTGATGATGCGCCAAAGGCGCTGGACACGCAAAACAAGGCGAGGGCAGTCGGAACGGAAAGCCCAGGCATGCGCCCCTTTTGGGCGACATAGCGCGGCAAGGCCGGATTTAAACGCTAAGCAGCCGGCCACACGGAACTCAGCTTACTGTCTGAAGTTGCGCTGGCTGTTGCGCGCTGCTTTAAGAGTGGCGGCTCGTATCGCGCCGGGCTTACTTCCCTCTTCCTGGGCACTGTGGCCAGAATCTGCGACTGCGGCGGATTGATGACCACGCTTTGATGGCACTTTGCCTTCCGCCTTCGAAAGCAAGGCCGTGCTTTTTGACACCGTGCCGGTTTTGGCCGGGCACTCCCCCCAGGCCCTTGAGCGGCGCTGTGCTGTCCTGGACATGTTTTCAAGCTGGCTTGTGCCGTTTTCCGCCTACGTTTGATGGCCACAGCATGTCTTTGAATGGGAGTGTTTTTGGACGATGATGATGATGATGATGATGATCACGATGACTTTGATGGTGATGATAATGTGATGCTGACCATGATGATGATGGCTTCTTTATGTAGCGTTCGTGTGGTCTTACTCATATCACAGGATACTACGCCCCCCCCCCCCCCGAAATCCTGAGTTCCAGAATTTGGCCTGAATCGGCGGCAAGGCCGTGTGCGCTATTATTGCGTGATTAGGGCCACGTGCCGCCCGTTGCAGCGATGGGAACGAGTTCCTTTCCAAGGCCTGAAAAAGGGACTTGGGTGTGGCAAACTCTTTCCACAAGATGGCAAGGCTGTCGTCCTCGTTCTGGCGCTAATAAGCTTTTGGGCACCAGTGAAAATTCTTAATCAGGGTTTTGGCTTCAAGACATGTCTGAACGCTGTTTTGAGCATGAACTTAGGGCTTTGGTTCTTAAACCGAGCTGCTGCCTCACGAAATGTGTGAACAAAATAAATTCCGCACTCAACTTATCAACTTAGCGCTCCATTGCTGAATACGAAATTGCGAGAGCTAAATATAGTCTTGTCACTGGATCTTAGACTCCCATTGCGAAATTCAGGATCTCCCACCGAATTCCAAGGAATCTGTGCATATTGGCCCGAGAAAGCATCGCCTGGAATGTTCG